TTCATGATCTGAATACAATTTAAAATATCATTCAATCAACCTAGTGTTCCCAATAATTTATTACTTCTTTAATAGCAAGACATTTAAAATATATAGCTTTTTTCGTGTTACTTTTAGTCTTTTTGCAAAAAAAGTCACTGGTTTTTTTCCTTTTTATTTGAACTTATATCCATACTGTACCAATGCCTTCTAGTGAAGCATCTGTATATAATTTGACGGCAAAATTTTTATCATACATTTATAGGACTGAATTGGAGTATAATAACTTTTTTATCTTTGTAGAGAATTTTTCACATTCTTTTGACCTTATTTTTTCATAACAATCTATGTAATGGATCTAGTATTATTGAAATTTCTGGTATATACATTTATAGTAACAGTTAATTTTTCTTACCAACTGTCTAATATTTTTTTGACGTCAGGGAATTGAAAAGATTTGAATGGAACTTGAGTAATCTGCAATAGGCCTTATTGTGTTATTCTCGATTATGTTTCTTAAGCAATTTACTGATTTCACTACAAATGTGCGTTTCTTCAATCAAAATATAAATCCTTCTTTGCTAGTGCTGTTTTTAGACCAAACGGTTAGCAAGTATATTGGTAGCTTCCTTTTTGTGTTATAAAGCTAGTTTTTTCTCTGTCTTCTTTCCTTAGTGGCATTGATAAAAATGCATAATTCATATCTAACGTTGCAAATTAACTAAGGTTTCTGGTTTTTTTACTACTATAACATCGATGAGTGGAGAAAGTTGCGCTTGTAGTACGGTTATCTTGTTTAAATCTTCGAAGTCGATGCATCATTGAGATATTTTTCCTTGATATTTTTAAAAACCAGAGCCACTGGTGCTGCAAACGGCTACATGATTTTACTACAATAGTCTTTCACTGATATACGGTAACTATCATTGATTCACAGTCTCCTACTATTACTAGTTCATATTTGTCTTGTGTAATAGTATATTGCGTACGAGTTTGCAAAGAAATTTACAGTGACATAGAATGAAAATAATGTAAAATCAAATAAGATATTTTCAAATACGCGTACATGACTAAACTAATGATTTTCTATCTGAATTTGTTGACCATGAGTGAAAATTATACCGTTCTTACATGGGGCGAAAACAGCCAGTGGAACGTCACAGCGAAAGGAGAAAAAAGTCAAGTTTTGCTACTACCCGCTGTCACTCTGACAATATTTTTGGTGATCAATGGTAACAGTGTTCTTATTAGGATGCTTGATATACAGGTTTAACTATAGAAACGCTTACTAAGTCAAATTATTACCTCTAGCCATTAGATGGAACGTTTTAAGACAGTACTTGTGCTACTGCATCGGTACCATTTTTATTCTTATTCCATTCAATAAAAAAAACAATGTGATGGTCAAACATAATTCAACTGTAACGTATACATATTAGCCATATGTGTAAGATACCGGGTGGTGATGTGTCGCCCGTAATGTTGTAATATTATTTTTTAAATTCACCAAATTAGTAAGTAAACTTTTTTAAGTAAGTGCGCGTTTACCTTTTTATTGAAAGTATATTTAGTTAAATTGATATAACAGTTCAGGGGTTGTAATGTATACATTGTAACGGGGTGTCCGTATTCACTTATGGCCCTGATAGCCACAAATTAATACTAGGGATACTCTGACCGGGATATATATATATATACATAGGTTGGTCAATAGAGGTATAAAATGAAGACATTATTGAAAGAATAAGGATGTAGTTGTTTGGTATTCACAACATTGTCTGCATCTATATTTTAGTTCATTTTTTTACAGTCCAGTTCAAGACATTCATTTTGTTATTACTTCTTATTTTTCCAGTAAAGTAAATTTTTCTACAAAAGATATTGGTGTGTATGAAAAAAAAACTTAGCGTCTATTAGTTTCAGTCCAGCAACAAATCACATCTTCAATATAACAGTACTTGAATAGGAGATTTTTCTTAAAGAATTTATTGTGATTTGCTGTTCTAAGTTATTTATAAAAATCTCTATAAGGAACGAGATAATTGGGTCTTCCTTTATGAATGTGTTACAGTCAACAAATACTAGTAATTTTGTTGCAGGAAGACGTCTAGATATTATAAGACTTTTTGTAATTACATTACCAGCCTTGTTCTTTATTAAGAACTCTGGTTAATTATTTTACTAGATCAAGAGACAAGAAATTAGAAAGTCTATCTAAATGTCTACCTAGCACCAACTTACTTAGTCGGTGATAATGACGGGCTAATAAAAACAGAACTTACTATCTCGTTAGATATGGAGATTTTTATGAATGAACTAGAACAGCAGATTGTAGGGTTTGAAGTTGTATACGAAATTTTAAAAAATTACTTTAATATGAATGATAATTATGAAAAATATTGTAGATCAATAAAAAAAATATAAAGATTGTTATCAGCTTTAACATGAAAACTAAAATTATAGAATTTTAAAATAACTTATTTAAAACCTTTACTACTTATTTCCTAAATTCAGGACTTGTTTCATAGGAATAAACAAATTTCTATTGTGCATGGCCTGAAGCATTTGCGCTTTGTACGAACCCAAAGAATACTTACAGGCTTTAAAGAAAATTTGTTTTAAAACAGTTTATAAAAATACAACCTTATCACGCAAATCAGTCATTAAATAACTGAACGTTAAAAGTTTTAATATTAACTCTATTTCTTTCTAAACCTCATTTCAATTAGTCACCAAAAAACAGTATAAAACAAGCATGGAAAGTTGTACAGATTTATTAATTTTGCAAAATATTAGCATCATTCGCTGTTATTATGCAAATAAGAGATTATGAAGCTGAACTATCTATCATAGAGTACTTTTAAATCATGATGATACTAAGGAGAATAATACTTTATATTTGTGTGATAAATATGTAGCTCACTAAAGTATTGAAGTAATTGTTAAGTTGATTTAGGGTAGCAGCTAAAAACTTGACTTTTTTTGTTGATCTTATTACTTTTTCAAATTTTTTATTTTGTTTGTGAGGAGTTGTGAGTTATTGAGCCACCTCTATGGAGTTCACGTATCAGATGAAATAGTCAAGAAATCTAAATAACATTAGTATTGCTTATCATTTAAATAAAATATTATGATGTCAATGTAACGTTCAGAGCTTAGAAGAGCTTACGAAAAGTACGGAATAAGCAACAGACAAACAAATAAAGAAAACAAATTAGCAGGACACGAATAACCTTGCAGCCCCTATCACCAAAGTTATGTGGGACATAACAGGTAAAGCGTGTAAAAACGACAAAAAAAAGCACAAATACACATGCATAATTTTAATCAAATTTAGTTTTTTAGAAAAACGCTAATCGAAAGCAACCATCTACATTAAGGCAATACGTTTTAATAGGAGTGTTTATAAAATCTGACAAAAATGCATCAATTGTGTTATTGATTCAAATGTAAGTATATCATCTTACGTCATGTTACGTTATTATTATCTCACAAGTAATATGTACGGATTTTGTTCATTGTGAAAGTAACTTTGTCAATGGAAGGTACTGTGATATTAAAACAGCTGTAACGAAAAAGCTAGTAAAGAAAAAAAGAAGTCAAAGTATTGCAGAAAGTACTCGTTGGTTTATTCTTTTATTACAGTAAATATCAACTTATAATTGTAAATGCAACAGAAATTTAAATTAAAAAAAAATGTTTTACCGTAAAATAATTATTTTATAAGAAAATTATGACTTACAATCACAAATACAGATATCAGAATTGAGAGCGTTTGACGTATTGATAAAATCGTACTGTTTTGAACATATCATTAGTAAGTTCACTGGGTTCTAGTAAATTATTGTGTTAATGGAAGCTTGTTTCAGCTACTTTCTAAATTATCCTAAGTTCACATCCTGATTTGGTTCAAGTTAAGTTTGCTATCATAATTATATCGTAAACAAGTAGGAATTTAGTATTCATCTCGGAATTATCCGTAGATGAGGCTACAAAGTTTGTGCAGTTAGATAAAACTAGTTTAAAGAGGTTCCAGCGCCTTAGTCTCGACATATTAGACATATGTCATTAAATAGTCTAGGTTACGCTGAATCTAAGGGTACCCTTTTTTATACCCATAACTGAACAAAATCTTGAGAAATTCATGCTTGAAGCTCGCTTTTTCAACTACAGCGCTTATGGCAGTTATACTAATACTAATGATTTGCAACCCGAAATTAGCCTATGCTTTTTTTGCGTCAGTAGTGCCAACTATCAACGTTTTTTTGAGTAAATTAGGGCTCTAAGATTTGGGTTGGTATCCCTACTCTCTGGAACCTCCTTAAATCTATTTACTGAACTAAATGAGTGGATTTAATTTATTAAAAATAATGATTTAAGTACGTTTAACCAAAAAAATTCACTGAATACATTAAAGAAAAAAAAAATTATTTTGGTTTTCTATGAATTGTAAATTTAATAGACATATCAAATTTTTGGGGCCCAACAGGACAATACACAAAATTTCTAACGACTATAGAACGACCTTATGCGATAAAAACCCAAACAATAAGCCACACATTTATAATACAAAGGCTTGACAAGTTGAATCCAATGATTTCAGTGATAATGACACCCAGCCCGACTGGCGTTCTAACTACAAAAGGGACTACATGGATGTAGATGTTGTGTTCCTCTGCACTGAGGATCTTTTGTTATGGACTTATCAGGTGGCAAACGGCATGGAATATCTTTCAAAAAAAAAGGGAAGCATCTAAGTGTACATGATTTTTGGTGTGCTCGGCAATTTTTAATTCCATAATAATAATTTGTATTTAAATGCCACTTTTTTTTCACAGGTACTGCATTGTAACTTGGCGGCGAGAAATATACTATTGTCAGAAAATAACATTATTAAGATCTGTGACTTCGGTTTGGCAAAGACATTGTAAAAAGACGAAAATTATAAGAGGCAATGCACTGGTAAGTTTCCTGTTAAGTGGATGGCCATTGAGTCCATCTGAGACAGGGTGTTTTCAACTATGTTGGATGTGTGGTCATTTGGTGTAGTTCTATGGGAACTTTTCACCCTTGCAGACGTACCTTATTCAGATACAGAGTTCGAGGAGATGTATCAGAAATTAATTAAGGAGTACAGATTAGAGCAGCCCATTTATGCTAGCAAAGACATGTAAATGAAACTTTTGTTATAAAGTCCATTTCTATAAAACTGTCACTCTACGTTGCTTACGTTTTTTTAGTTACGACATTATGCTACATTGCTGGGAGGAAGAGCCGATTTTGAGACCATCTTTCACAATGCTGGTTGAAAGCATTGGAAAACTTTAACTAGATAATGTCAAAACGCATTTCTGAAGACTTTATCATGAGTACGAAAATTTTTACAGGGAAGGCCAGCTTAAAACAAAAGAAGATAACTTACCCACCACGTCATTACCAGATGATATAACGTTTCCATTAATCCGGCAAAACTACGTAAACACCTTACCTCAAACCGTAATGCCATTCTACGAAAACGTGCACAATCACGTCGTGTCACTGTAAATGATACTAAAAATATTTGATTATTTTATGACAAGGATTTCAAAAGTAAATCTGTTAATCCAGAACAAAGTAAATGTTTGGTCTAAGCCTAATAATTTAGGTATGAATATTTGTGCAATAACACTCCCATTTTATGATCCATCAATATAATACTTTATCAGCAAAAATCAACTTTAAAATTTTGTTGGAAATATACATGAATTGAACACTGTCATATTCGTAAAAAATAACATGATGAAACACATGAAACTACCAGACAGTTCAATTGATTATTATACCTATAATTTACTGAAAAAAAAGATTAAATACGATGTTTTTATACATACGTATGCATTTGGCATCATTTAATTTTAACTGAATTTATTTATCAAGAGTAAAAATTTGGCTCTTCACTATGAAACTTACAGCCATAGCGGTAGTTTTATGAAAAACTCATTTGCTCTGAGAATTCATTTTAAACGATGTGAAATTCTACAACTGGTATCTTTTATGTTGAGTCTTGTCTTTGAACTGCTGTTTTCACACCTAAAGAATGTATTTATTCATTTTTGTTTGTTTTATTAAGTAACCATGAATTTTATTTCTTTTTCAACGATATTTTCTAAAGTCAAAGTTACGAATGTTTTTCAAATTTGCTAAGTAATAATGCAAATGAAAAATCAAAAAAAAATAACAATACATGGTGGTTGTCAGAAAATAGGCGGTCATGTTAATCGTAAAAGTATACAAATAACGATGAAAGCATTGGCAAAGATAATCAAAATGAGTATCATATTACGGTAAATGAGATTTTCACGTGTGGTCTATTAACTTTTTTGCCATAAATAACTGCTCGTTTATTTACACTATCTTTAGGTTTAACTATCTTAATACTTTACTATCTTAATTACAGTAGCTAAACGAACAGAAAAGATAGGATAAGCTGTAAAGGAAATGGTAAGACAGAGTAAGCGTGTGTTAACAGACTGGCTGACTGCGCGAGAGTGAACAAAACCGTAGTTACTTGACGCTGAAGTGCAGCGTCACAGTGTCTCGTCTTTTTGATGTTGCGCATGCGTAATAATTCAGTTACGAGCGCCAACAATACATCCAACACTCCCTCCCGTTCGTATCTGAATTTATTAAAATGAAAAGAAAAGATATATTTGAACATTAACACTGAATATAAATGAATTTTAATCAGCCAATGATGTGGAGCACGTGGGCTTCTGGGTCACTCATTGTAGTTGATTTCGACGAGCTAAAACATACACAGAAAATACATTAATCAGCATGTCTACCATCATTATCTATCTATTATCAATTTACTAATTTTACTATCTCAAGTTCAAATTTAATTATCATGCATTTTACGCTAATTAACATTCAAAATTTCTTTCGTTAGTCTTTTATGCAGTTCAAACGGCAGTGGTTTTGTAAAGATATCTGCTCGTTGTTTCTTGGATGGAATCCATTCAACAATTATTTTTCCTCTGGATACACATTCCTTAACGTAGTGAGCCTTTATCTCGGTCATGTGTCTCAGTATTTTGCCACCATCTATCTTAGCACTTGCTCCGGCGGCTTTGTTGTCACACCATAGATCCGCGGGCAATAAAGTGCGAGACAATATAATACGTATAGAGTGCTCCAGTCCAATCAATTCTTGACTTGCGTCGCACATTGCCACATATTCTGCTTCGAAGGTTGAAATAGCAACATAATTCTGCTTTCTTGTTTTCCAAGCAACTGTATCCCCATACCGCCTTAGGAGATTTCCACCTGTTGTTATTGAGCCTTTACAGTCTGCCAAACTCGCATCTGAATAGGCTTCTAATCCATTTTTACAGCCTCTGTAAGTTAATCCTAGGGTTCTTGTGTGTTGTAAATATCGAAATACCCGTTTGACCATTTTCCAATCATCTTCGGTTGGGTCGATTTGATGTCTACTCAGTACATTCACCGAGTATGAAATGTCTGGTCTTATTGTGTTGGCTAACTACAGCAGGCTACCGATTGCTTCTCTGTATGGCACATTTTCTCTCGTTATCGTTGTGATCAACTCTCCAGCATCTTCACACTCTTCTCTATCTTTTCTTTGCCGATCCAAAACTTGATTTGTCATCATTGGTGTTCTTTGGGGTTTTGACTCATTGAATCCAAATTTCTCTAACATTTTATCTATGTATGGTGTTTGTGTTAGTAAAATTGTATGAAGTTTTCTATCTCTTTCCACTTTGATGCCTAGAAATGTGCCAACCTCGCCAAGATCTGAGATCTTAAACTCAGATTGCAGACCAGTCTTAATTTCATTCATTTTGCCTACACAATTGCTGGCTATCATCATATCATCCACGTATAGGATCAGGACTAGAAAGTTGTCGGCTTCTCTCCATGTATAGAGATAGGGCTCGCTCGTATGTGACCGTAGTCCCAATTTAGATGCAGTCTCACGAAACCGCTCATTCCATCTTTTTGGGATGATCTTAAGTCCATAAAGGGCTTTTTCCAATTTACAAACCTGAGCTTTCTTGAAACTGTCACTATCAAGCAAGCCTTCAGAAATCTTCATATATATCTCTTCTTTAATAGATCCATTTAAGAAAGCTGTCTTGACATCAAGTTGGCAAGTCTCCAGATTGTATCTATTAATTATTGATACTACTGATCTTACCAGGGCCAGCCCAGACACCAGGGCATAGGTTTCTTGCAGATCGTACTTGTTCCTATCTTTGAAACCACGAATCACCAACCTCGCTTTGAACTTCGTGTTTCCATCTTTATCTATTTTTCTCTTCAAAACCCACCTAGATTCGATGATGTTGGGCTTGCCACCTTCAGCGCTCACGGTTGGTCTTTCTACAAGTTTCCACACTTGGTTTTTCCGCATTGATTCCAGTTCTTCATCAATTGCTCTGAGAAATTTATCGCGATCCAGAGATGCGACTGCTTCTTTGTAGTTTGCGGGATCTTTGTTCTGTTCAGCAATCAGGGCATGTGACATTTCATCTTCGACTTCTGCGATTAAACAGTCAACATCGCCCTTTGATTGAAGCTGTTTATTCAACTTGTTTGCGTCGATGGCTCCTGCAAAGCTCGTATCATTTATTCTAGTGGGTTGCTTAGGGCTTTTTTAACCAAGATCTCCAACTTTCTTGGGCCGACCGCGCTTTCTCTTGACTACTGGTTCTCCCTGTGTTTCCAATGACTCTTTAGGGCTAGTCTTATCAAACTTAACGAACCATTCATCTTGTTTAACATCTGTCTTGTGGTTTCCCCAGTTTGCTATTTTGTCCTTTCCCCAGATATCTCTGAACACGAGTCTTTCTTGGAATTTTACGTCTCGACTCTCATAAAATTTTCCATCTTCAGGTCTTAAGAAAGAATAGCCAGTGGGAGTATAACCAACCAGCACGACTCGTATCCCTTGTGGACCGAATTTGGTTCCAGTGTTCCTTTGTATCTTGATAAAAGCGACGCAGCCAAATCTTCTGATTTGGGTTATGTCTATCTTCAGATTGGACGCAAACTTTTCTAAAGGGGCTATCATATCGTTAGACCGGCGAGGTGTCCGATTGTAGGCATATACTGCACTGCCCAGTGCTAAGTCCCACATGTTATCCCTGAGCCCGGAGTCGTACATGTAGGCTTGCACCTTGTTTTGCAAGGTACGATTAATCCGTTCTGAGACTCCATTGTGCTGAGGGGTGTCTGGACAGGCCAACTGAAGTTCTGCTCCCAACCTCTGGAGAACTTCTACCGTTTGGCCTCCTGTAAACTCCGTGCCTTGATCGGTTCGAAGATAGCATATCTTTGCATCAAAACCCAACAGGTTTCGTGTGCTTGTCACAAAATTGTCCAAACAACGTCCTGCTTCACATTTTGTCTTCACTGGGTATGCCATAGTCAATCTTGAGTAGTCATCCGTGTAGACGATTATAAATTTATATCCTTTAGAATAAGTAGCTGGGCTGATCGGTCCCATTGTATCAGCATGAACTATCTCGAGTGGTTTGGTTGCCCTATCTCTTTTAGTACTGAAAGGCAATCTCTTGATTTTAGCAACTTGGCACACCTTGTATATTGTAATGAAGCTGTTGAAGACGGCCTTATTCAAATCTTTATTGTCCGGATATTTTCTTTGCAGTGCCTTGAGATATTCTGCTGAGGCATGCCCGAATCTTACATGCCAGAGTATGGCTCTGTCATTTCTTTAAAATGTTCTGCACTTTTCTGTAAACGGGCTTTGAGCTTCTGGAATCTCACCAATCATAAGGTCATCACAATTATTGATTCTTCTATCTTTAACTGTTTTCTTAAACTCACTTTGATGAGAGCTGTGTGGACTAGCTCTTCCCGATTCATTATTTGAGATTCCAGGGCAGCTCCTATCATTAGTGCTGACTTGCTGAACCTTCTCAGTCTTTGCTTTCGGGGAATTTTCTACCATTAAGCAGTCTGTAATTTCTTTGAACTTCTCATTTTTACTTGTGCTCTGTCCATCTTGCAGTAGTTCTACTATCCAGTAAGGGCTCTTGTAGACACCAAAAATCATAGTTTCATTAGAACGCGGATCAAATATATCTAGCTTTGTATTATAGAGGTATATACTCATGCCCCTTTTAGCAAAACGGCGAAACGACAGCAAGTTTCCAGCGAGTGCCTTAGCGCATGCAACTCTATCTAGGACTATCTTGTTTTGGTTATTTTTACCCCAAACGCACCCTTCTCCCTCCGCTCTTAAGTCCGCGGAGGAATCTTTGTTCGCGTATTTAATAAATTTATTTTTACAGTCATTGAAATTTTTGAAATAGAGTTTAGAATTAGCAAAATTTTCTGTGGCGCCTGAATCTGCTACGAACTCAATTTTCTTGCAACCGTTATCTCGTGTTTCCTCCGTGCTTGTAGAGAGCGAAGTTTTGGGGTTAACAGCAAACAAACCACTGCATGCATTAGACCTAGGTATTTCTACATCTGACTGCGCATTACCGGCCTCGCATTCGGCTCGGCCGATAATATAG